GGGGCGGGTGTCGTCCTACGAATTCCAGCCCGGCGCAAGAGGAGGAAGAAGAAGCAGCAGCACTGGATGGGGACGGAGAAGCCGGTGCCCCGGACGCCGAAGACCCCTGCCAAGACGGGGGCCGAGTCCCTGCCCCGGGTGACGCTGAAGATGAACCCGCCCAAGTGCCCGGAGTGCGGCAAGAGCTTCCTGAGCAACGTGGCCATGACCATCCACATCCGGAAGCACACGGGGGAGCGCCCCTTCAAGTGCCACCTGTGCCCCAAGGCCTTTGCCTCCCTGGGGGACCTTAAGCGCCACCTCAGGCGGCACCTGCACCGAGAGCCCCCTCCCGCCCCCAGCGACAGCCCCCCCGCCGGCCAGTGCAAGAAGAGCCTGGCGGCCCGGCTGCAACTCTCGGGCCACTTGCAGCAGCACGAACCGGGCCCCCGGATGCCCCACGCCTGCGCCCAGTGCGGGAAGAGCTTCCAGACGAGGCAGAGCCTGCGGAAGCACGAGGGGACGCACTCGGCCGAGCGGCCCTTCCCCTGCCTGGAGTGCGGGCGCAGCTTCCGGCTCAAGCAGATCTTGGCGGCCCACATGGAGTCCCACGTCCAGGAGAGGCCCTTTGCCTGCCCCCAGTGCGGGAAGAGCTTCACCCAGGAGCGCCACGTCAGGCGCCACCAGCGGGTCCACACGGGGGAGAAGCCCTTCGCCTGCCTGGCGTGCGGGAAGCGCTTCGGCTACAAGCAGCCCCTCCTCAAGCACCTGCGCCTGCACACCGGGGAGCGGCCCTTCTCCTGCGCCGAGTGCGGGAAGGCCTTCCGCGACAAGGCCACGCTGGTCATCCACAACCGGATGCACACCGGGGAGCGGCCCTACCACTGCGCCTTCTGCGGCAAGAACTGCCGGCAGAAGCAGCACCTGAACAGCCACATGCGCGTCCACCGCGGGGAGAGGCTGCCCACCGAGGGCGGCCCCGGCCCCGCCCTGCAGGAGAAGCCCTTCGCCTGCCCCGCCTGCGGGAAGCGCTTCCGAGACGGGAAGATCATGCTGGACCACCAGAAGACCCACGAGGAGGAGGAGCCGCCGGCGGGGCCGGGCCCTCTTGCCGGCGGAGTGGGCCCCTCCCCAGGAGAAGCAGAATCGGTCAGCGGAGGAGGAGGAGGAGGCGTGAGCCGGGAGCACCCCACCGGGCTCCCCCCCCCCCCTCTGGGAGGGAAGGCATCCGTCGTGTGCCCCGACTGTGGCAGGAGCTTCAGCCAGCGGAAGTACCTCACCCTGCACCGGCGGAGCCACCAGTGAGGGCTGCAGCTGCTGCCACCAGAAGTCAAGATGGGGGCCTCTGGCCAGAGGGGGACTTGTGGCCGTTGGAGAGCCGGAGGAGCCAGAAGCACTTGCAGAAGGGAGGATGAACGCTGTTCCTGGGCTGTGTGGGGCCCATTGTCCTTTGCCGGCTGGGAAGTTTGCAAGAAAGCGCTTCTTCACCCTTTTGCCTCCCCTCCACCACTCTCGCTGCACAGCTGGCTCAAGAGAGCCCCCCTCCTCCAGACTCTTAACTGGTTCTGGTCACACCGTATCTCAAGAAGGACCCGGCAGAGCTGGGGAAAGGACGAAGGAGGGCGCCCAAGATGAGGAGAGGCTGAAGAGTCTCTGGGACTTTTCAGTTTAGAAAGGAGAGGATGACTGAACGGGGACGTGATAAGAGGTCTAGAAAATTATGCATGGGGCGGAGGGAGTTGACAGACAGAATTTGTTCTCCCTCTCCCCAATAGACTAGAACTTGAGGGCACCCAACGAAGCTGATGGGCAGTAGGTTCAGGACAGACAACAGGATTAATACTACTTTATACAGAGAGTGATTAAAATGTGGAGTTCGCCGCCAGGGGGTGTCGTGATGGCCACAGGAATAAACAGCTCTGAAATAGATTTGTGGAGGGCGGGTCTAGCAGTGACTACTAGCCATGGCAACTGACAGGAAGCTCCATGTTCAGAGGCAGTCAACCTCTGAACACCAGTGCCACAAGTCAACATCAGGGGAAGGCCTTGCCCTCTCTGCCCTGTCGTTGGCCCTTGTGTGAGACGGGAGGCTGGACTGGATGGACCCTCCCTGGTCTGATCCAGCAGGGCTCTCCTGATGTTCTTAGAGAAATTGTTTACAGTCACGTCAGTCCAAAAGTGAAATCACAAAAGCCAAGAACACAGTCTATGTAATACCTTTTAATAGGACTGCCCCAATGGCATGTTATTCCGGTGTTTTGTCCCATTTGTGGAGGAAAGCATTTACTTTGAAACAGGCACATGGAAATGGAGAGTCTCTCTGACGTTCCAAAGCAGGGCATTAACCTATACACCACAACAGTGTTATATTGCGATGATTATTCTCTTCAGTACCTAATATTTACAGGTCATCCGCCCTCTGAAGAGAGGTCAGATTTTGAGTCCAGGTGTCAAGTGGAAACCTTGTGTCCCAGGCAAAAATCTCTCCAGTTTATCCTTTTAAGATGTTTATTTTGAATCAGTCTGATGATTCTTAAAACAAAAAAAGAATCACGAATGTGCTAGCATATGTCAGTGAAATGCAAATAAAAAGGCATACGTGTCATTCCTTATCCTAGCTATCTGAAATTTAAAATATAACATACATGTCCTTAGATTCTTACCAAAGCATTTTCAGAAAAGCAACCACAGTTTGAGAGATTCAGGGGTGTTTTGGGTGTGGCTACATTATATATAATATTATATCATATCATATCATTCCAGCTCCTGCCAACCTAGCAGTTCGAAAGCAAGAAATTGGCAAGTAGATAAATAGGTACCACTTCAGTGGGAAGGTAACAGCATTCCGTGCGCCTTGGTGTTTAGTCATGCCGGCCACATGACCACGGAAACGTCTTCAGACAGCGCTGGCTCTTCGGCTTTGAAACGGAGATAAGCACCGCAACCTGAACCTCCGGGGAGGGCGGGATAAAAATGTGAATAATAAATAAATAAATAAATAAACCCTAGAGTCGGAGCTTTCGAGCAAGGGAACCTTTACCTTTACATTACACAGGCCCAATTATATAAACTGCACTTTATTCAACCATGGATTCAGGTGGGGTCGCTTTGTTAGTCTGAAGCGGCAGAAGGAAGTTTGAGTCCAGTGGAGGCACCTCCAAGACCAACAAAGTTTTATTCCTGGTATAAGGTTTTGCACACACACAAAACCTTATACCCAGGATTAAACTCTGTTGTTCTTGGAGGTGCCCCTGGACTCAAGCTTTGTTTTATTAAACCATGTAGCTAGTTGTCACAACCTCTGAACAAAAGAATGATCCCTCCCTAAAGAATTATTGTTCCAAACAGTCTTCTGCTTCTTCTGGTCATTCTGGGATTTAGTCTGGGCCTAAATCCATTTATTCGTAGACTGTCTTTCTCAAAGTTGGGACAATGAGAACACTGCTGAAACAATAAGGAGCATAAAAGAACCAGCGGTCCAGTAGCCCCTTAAAGCCTAACAAAATTTGTGGCAGGGTAGGAGCTTTCGTGAGTCACTGCTCGTGTGTTCAGAACCGTGTCCTTGTCTACAGATTTGAAAGCTAAAAGCCGGTTGTCCGGCGTACTCTGTTCAAGATCCCGTACCCTTAAAGTCAGATCTGTGACAACATAGCTGTGTGCAAGCATTCGAGTTCACCAGAACTCTTCATCAGCCCAGCGGTGACACAGTAAAAAGAGGGGGGAAGCACACAGAAGCACAGAGTTGGATGGGGCCATAGAGGCCATCTAGTCCAACCTTCTGAGGGAGTTGAGGGGGGGCGGGTCATGCTCAGGATAAGGAGCCTTTGGGCACCTGTCCTCCCAAACAGTTTGGCCCAGCCCCCCATGATGGATTGGCCCTCCTGTGCTGGGAGGGGGGTGGTCTTTACATGCTGGGTACAAAGAAGACCTTTTCTCCTTTTCTCACAATACAAGAACCCCAGGGCACTCAAATTGCTGAGCAGTCAGGTTAGAACAGATAAAAGGAAATCCTCCTTCACCCAAAGAGTGATTAGCACGTGGAATTCACGGTGGTGGCAGCTACAAGCAGGGATGGCTTCAAGAGGGAATTGGATAAACACCTGGAGCAGAGGTCCCTCAGGGGCTATTAGCCACAAGATATAGATAGGAGCTCTCCGTCTGGGGCAAGTGATGCTCTGTGTTCTTGCTGCTTGTGGGGGTGGGGTCAACAGTGGGAGGGGCTTCTACTGTCCTCCTGGCCCCACTGCTGGACCTCCTGATGGCACCTGGTGTTTGGGACACTGTGTGACAACAGAGTGTTGGACTGGATGGGCCACTGGCCTGATCCAACACTGGCTTCTCTTATGTTCTTATGGATAAGCATATGGAGCAGAGGTCCATCCGTGGCTGTTAGCCACAAGGTATAGATAGGAACTCTCAGTCTGGGGCAAGTGATGCTCTGTATTCTTGGGTGTTGGGAGGACAACAGTGGGAGGGGCTTCTAGTGTCCTGACCCCACTGCTGGACCTCCTGATGGCACCTGGTATTTACAGTGCCCCCCCAAACAACTGGCCTGGGCCTCCTGAGCTGCCGCTGGAATCCAACCACACTCATGACGCAGAGGGAAAAGCTCTTGGAGGAATGCCAAGCATCAGTGGCCCCTTTTAGCCACAAGGTCTAGACAGGGACTCCCAGTCTGGTGCGGAAATGCTCAGTCTTCTTGGTGCCTGGTGAGGGCATCATTGGGAGGGGCTTCTAGTGTCCTCCTGGCCCCACTGCTGGACCTCCTGGTGGCACCTGGTGTTTTTGGCCACTGTGTGACACAGCGTGTTGGACTGGATTAGCCATTGACCTGATCCAACATTGGCTTCTCTTCTGTTCTTATGGATAAATCAACCTCCCTTCCCCCCCAGCCCCCTTGCCTCTTAGCACACACCCAGGTAATTCACTGCCACAGGAGGTGGTGGTGGCGGCTACAAGCCTGGACGGCTTCAAGAGGGAATTAGATAAGCATCTGGAGCAGAGGTCCATCAGTGGCTCTTAGCCACGAGGTATAGATAGGTAAATCTCAGTCTGGGGCAAAGGGATGCTCTGTATTCTTGGTGCTGGGGTGTGTGTGTGTCAACAGTGGGAGGGCTTCTAGTCTCCTGGTCCCACTGCTGGACCTCCTGATGGCACCTGGTATTTCTGGCCACTGTGTGACACAGAGTGTTGGACTGGAGGGGCCTTTGGCCTGATCCAACACTGGCTTCTCTTCTGTGCTTACAAGATCCCAAGTGCCAGCGGGGAGGCTGATCCGATGGAGGGAAAGGCTGGGCCAGCCAACAGACACACACACACACACACACACCGGCACGCCTGAGTGGGGACTGCAGGAAGAGCCGCTTGGTTCCGGTCACCCTCGGAGCCTCCCAAAAGATGAGCCACCCTGCAGGGCCTGGCCTCCTGAGCCCTGGAAATGGGACCAGGTTCTGAACACGTGTCCGAATGAGTGGCTGCAGACGGCCCGGTCTGTGGGTGGGGGCCCTTCCCCCCCCGGGAAAGAGGACAGACCCCCCAAGTGCCAGCGGGGAGGTTGATCCGATGAAGGGAAGTTGCTGTGCGGTTGTGCCTTTGGGGACTTGTGCTGCCCTTTGTGGGGCCGATGGGGAACTTTTAAGAGCAACAAAGTTTTATTCTGGGTCTCAGCTTTTGTGTGAATGCACACTTCTGCAGAGGTCTGCATGCACACCAACACTTCCACCCAGCATTAGAGCCTGAGTTTGAACCTGGAGGGGCTGAGACGCTGGTCTCTAGCTTGGCAGTTGGAGACCCGCGTGCCGCCTGATGGAGTGAGCTCCCGTCTCTGGCCCCTGCTCCTGGCAACCTAGCAGCTGGAAAGGAGATAAATAGGGACCCCTTCGGTGGGAAGGAAGGTGACAGCATTGTGCCTCCGCGTTTAGTCATGACCATGGAGTAGTCTTCGGACAGTGCTGGCTCTTCAGCTTGGAAACGGGGATGAGTGCCGCAGCTCTAGAGTCGGATTGGACTGGCTTTCCAGCAAGGAAATCCTTTCCCTTGAACCTCGGCCCGCACTTCGACCACGACACCACCCTGGCTTTCAACGCAAAACCGGGGTGGGGTGGGGATACCCTCACTCCCCCCAAATGTGGCGTTCTGAAGCAGGTGGGGCTGGAGCCCTCAGCTCCCGGGGCCCCCTCGGCCCAGCCCGCCCCGCCGGGTCTTGGGGGGTGGGGGAGTCGAAGGAGAGGCGCCCTGGGCGGAACGGAAGGTGGGGCGGGGCAGACGCTCGGCCGCGGTCCCTCCCCAGCGCTCTGCACGCGCTCAGAGGCCCCCGGCGGAGGGGCTGGCCCGGGCAGGCAAGGCGCCCGCGGCATCTTCTGCGGGGGCTGGGCTGGGCGGCGCCGGAGGCTGGGCCACCCTCTCCG